AGCTTGTCCAGGTCCCTCTGGATGGCATCCCGTCCCTCTGGCGTGTCGACCGCACCATTCAGTTTGGTGTCATCTGCAAACTTGCTGAGGGTGCCCTCAATCCCACTGTCTATGTCATTGATGAAGATATTAAACAGTACTGGTCCCAATAAGGACCCCTGCGGGACACCACTTGTCACCGATTAAAGGTATGCATACCTTTAAGAGTGCATGTGGTGATATAAAATGCAGCACTAAGGATAGAGGAAATGGAAGGTTAACGAAAGAGCAACAAATGGAAAACACCTAAGTACTGATGGGTAGATGACAAGTATGATTACTTTAGAAAAGAAAAAAAAAAGTGTTATCCTACCTTAAACTCCACACCCTTCCATCTTTTAAGTCCTAGCTATTTTCCCTTCTTCAATATATCTTATGCTTCTGTTGCATCTATCAGTTGTCCCTATACTCCACATATATATCTGCGTTTCAAGTATGTTTTAAGCATTATTTCACTCCTATGACAACATGGTTCTTAAAATAACTTTTTTTTGAAAAAGAAAAGCTGAGATTCAGATGTAAACCTATGCTTTAACACTGAGAGTGCTTGACTGTGTGTGACAGCAGTCACACAGTTGACTGTATCAGGAGTATTTTTCAAAAGTATTCCTGAGTTGAAGCATCATCAAATACACGCTGATTCTGCAAAGATTGTGTCCACACTTCACATTACACGTTGATAAGTAGTCTTACTAGTTTAAATAAGATTGCACAATGCCTAAAATTGTACTTTCTGAGAAGCAGCTGTATTTAACTTGTGTGTATATGCCTTTACACAATCAAGATCATAGAATCATAGAATCATTAAGGTTGGAAGAGACCTCTAAGATCATCGAGTCCAACCGTCAACCCAACACCACCATGCCCACTAAACCAGGTCCCTAAGCGCCTCATCTACACGTCTTTTAAATACGTCCAGGGATGGTGACTCAACCACTTCCCTGGGCAGCCTGTTCCAATGTTTAACCACTCAATGGATGATGGAAATCTATGCATGATTTGCCCACTAGCATCACTAGAAAAATCCTAACGAGCAGAAGATCAATACTATGTACCAGAAACACAGACAACAATAAAACATTTAAAACCTTCATTTCAAAGTATTGTTATTCCTAAAAAACAGAAGAGTCCATTTTAAGTTAAATATCAGTGCTATGAAGTAAATCAAGGCACTTGCTTTAAATGGTTTTCGCACTGTTTTGTAGTTTGAATGACAAGATACCTTGCCCTGTCTCTAATTCTTTCCTTGTAATTCTCCAGAAACAGAAGTTACAATCAAACCACGAAAAAAGTGATAATCCCTTGCTAAAAGAAAACAATAACTTGAAGCAGCACACTGGAATGAGTTTTTCCTATTTATATTTACTCCACATATATGTGTGTGTCTTTAAAACCTTCATTTCAAAGTATTGTTATTCCTAAAAAACAGAAGAGTCCATTTTAAGTTAAATATCAGTGCTATGTCAAGGCTCAAGGCACTTGCTTTAAATGGTTTTCGCACTGTTTTGTATGACAAGATACCTTGCCCTGTCTCTAATTCTTTCCTTGTAATTCTCCAGAAACAGAAGTTACAATCAAACCACGAAAAAAGTGATAATCCCTTGCTAAAAGAAAACAATAACTTGAAGCAGCACACTGGAATGAGTTTTTCCTATTTATATTTACTCCACATATATGTGTGTGTCTGTGTATGTATATGTGTGTGTGTGTATATACACACATATGTACACACACACACAGAGAACATAGGCTTTCCTCTGTATTGTGTGTGTGTATATATACACACATATGTACACACACACACAGAGAACATA